GGTTGGGCATATGGGATGCCTAGCCAGAATTTCGTTGAGCCCGCCGATCCGCCATTGAAGGTACCCTGGTCAAGCTTGACCTGAGGCTGGACAACGCGAGGCTGCACGATCCGAGACGCCTCGCTAACCCCGAGGAGTGCCGCAACGAGCGCGGTAGCGAAGAACATATTATACGAGTGCACCGACACACCGAGACCGAAAGGACGAGAGGGGAAGCGAAGGCGAATCGAGCCTTCCCGGCCCTCGCGCGATTTATAGACGGCTCTACCGGCAGCTTTCTCATATGTTTTGTCGATGAGATCGCAGGGGCTAAGATCGCAAATAGAAGCATGTGTACCTCCCGGATGGCCTCGGGTGACGCGACCAGGGGCGGGCATGTCAAGTAAGATGCCGCGTCGCGCAAGGCCGACTCCCGAATCCCGCCCCGCCGACGCTGCGCGAGTGCTCGTACATGAGCAGCTTCCCCCACGCCACCAGTAATCAACCGGGCATATATATGTTTGAGCCCATAAGCGCGGCCACATATAAATGGTGACGGACCCTGCATGGCCGCATGGGCTTGAATGGGAGCAGCTTCGAGTTGAGAAATGTTAACGAAGTTGGGAAGTTAGAGGTAGAAAGTCACTATAGGGCAGCTCGTGAGGGGGTAGAAAGTGATGTTGTAGAGTCTGATCTCGCAACATACAAAGTCTGAGGATTTGCATAGAAAGTCGCGAGATCGAAAGTCACCGAGGTAGAAAGCCGCGGGGTCAAAAGTCGCCGAGGTAGAAAGTCGCGAGATCAAAAGTCGCCGAGGTAGAAAGTGGCGAGATCAAAAGTCACCGAGGTAGAAAGTTGCGAGATCAAAAGTCACCGAGGTAGAAAGTCGCGAGATCAAAAGTCACCGAGGTAGAAAGTCGCGAGATCAAAACTGACCGAGGTAGAAAGTCGCGAGATCAAAACTCGCCGAGGTGGAAAGGGGGCCACGTGGCTCTGGAGAGAGGGATTGAGCGGAGGCCGACGACGCGATGGACTTGCTCGAACACCCACCTCGCGGGCTCGACTCTCTCGATCTCTCCATCAACCTCTCCTGCTACCGCCCGTTCTTTGGCTACATCGCTGCATACGCCCTTACGCGGCTTTCGCGTACGGTTGTCGCGTGGTGGTTATGGACGTGCCCATGATCATAGCTTCATGGTGATTACTCGAATGGGCTACGGCAACACATGCGCCCGGAGCGACGGTTTGGTGGCGGGCGCGGACTGGACTCGATTCCCGGAGGCGTTCTCCTGGGAGGAACTGGTTAGCAGGACTCTGGCCTTTGGCGTACGGTCGTCGGGTTCTCATGGGTCCGCAGGGACAAGATGTCACCTTTTACGCCGTGAAGCCTGTTGGTCCCGCCTTCCGTTGCTGCATCTCGAGTGACGTCGATTCCCGCGTCGAACCCCGCGTTCGAGTTCAGTGCCGGGCGCCGCATGTTGCGACGTTTGCGAAGCAGCGACCTCGAAGGGCGGACCTGGGATGCGCTGCAGGTTTTCGCCCGAGTCTGTGTTACTGGGGAAGGGCGAGTCAATCGAGGGTTCAGGCCGTGGAGATGAACGGTCCTCCGGATATCACGCTGCACTGGTTGGCCGGTGTCGGGCGAGTCTCCGCGCCGCAGACGGGGTTGGCCGCCGCTCGTGTCGCAACACGGGCCTCATTTATTGCAGATTACACCCTGCAACACCGGCGCTGAGGGTCCTGCACGGTGCTTCTGTCACGCGGCGTTCGCGTACAGTCTGCATAGCGGTCAACGCGGATGGCGGTTACGCTTCCAGGACATGACGCGACTCTGAGGTGCATAGCCGATACAAGAGCGAGACGATTGGAGATGCCCACCATGCGTGCCGTGCCGGCCCGGAGCACAGTCGTAGGACAATAGCGTTCTCCCCTTCGCCTCAACGACGTCTTCATCAATCAGAACATCGCTTTGGTCGTGCACGGAACGGCGGCGAACATAACGTGTCGCTTGAGTAGCTTCACGTTGTGAGGCTCCCTTCTCTCGACGTCTTCACCGGATCTTTGCTGCTCAGCGCTCAAGCGCACATTAGGCGTCGTCCCTTCGTCGGCTTGATAAACGCCATCCATCGAGAACCGCCGCACTCACCCACGGCCGCTCCCCGCCAGCCAGGGTTCTTGGCGGCGTCGGCGTGCTCCTTGGCAAGCTTACCCGGTCGGCGTGCGGGGGCACGCGCTCAGTTGGAATGGTGTTCCAACTCCAATCGCGCTTCCTTTACGCGGTTTCTCGTATCATACGCGGCGTTCGCGTACAATTCTCGTCTCCTTTGACGCAGTTGACGGGTGCGCGACGGGCCAGAATTTGATGGAACTGCAGGGGAGCGGGTCATTGGACGGTGTCATCTATGTGACTTTGTATCTCCGGACTTTGTATCTCTTGACCTTGTATCCTCTGACTTTGTATCTCTGGACTTTGTATCTTTGGACTTTGTATCTCTGGACTTTGTATCTCCGGACTTTGTATCTTGCGCCTTTGGATTTATATCTCCGGACTTTGTATCTCCGGACTTTGTATCTCCGGACTCCGGACTTTGTATCTCGCGGCTTGAACGATAGCCTACTCTATGCAAAAATGCTGCCACGCTGTCGTGCGCGCCTGCTTTGGTAGAGCTCGTGCTGTACCGCACACACTCGTCGACCGACTGCTATCGTACACGTTCTCATATATCCCTGTACATGACCTCCGCGAATTTCTCTCCTCTTCTCCCTCACATATCGGCCTCATGTTTATCGATCGCCCTGCATACTCCCCATCGTATTCCAAGCTTCATACTTAACCTATGGCTCTCCGACCCTCTCCTCCCGCTCGCCCGTATCCGTCTCTCGCCTTGTAATTATGTTCAATGTATTACCTGTGCCTCCTGGATCATCATCGTCTCGAAGTGCGCCACCCTGGACCTCGCGTCCTGTGAAACCTGACAGTCAGTCTGCGTCCCTTCGCGCACAAGGTCATCCACTCGCGCTCTTTGATTCGTCAAACAGTCATGTCTGACGCCGCGTCGAGGACCGGGCAGTTCATGGTGGCATATTTCGTCATGTTGGCCGGTCGTATCATCGCGCGCCCAAGTTTCAGGATGGAAATCCGTAGGTGCTCAAGCCGGGCATTGTCGTGCCTGCCGGGCTCTTGCCGTGCTCATCTGCAATCCCCACGCAACAAGCCAATGTAGATGCGTAGACTCCTAAGGATTCTGCTGAGCGGCCGAAGAATGATAACTACGTCTCCTACAATGCTCGAGCAAGGACATGCGCAAGGCGAAGTGATGCAATGCGTAAAATTCGTTGATACAGTACGCTACGCAACAGACACGATGCCTATCGAGTTCAAGTGGAGCAGCATACTAGGAGTATCAATAATTCTCACCGCAAGGCAACCGGGCTCAGTACTTCTGCCCACTGCTGATGCCACTCGTGTTCATCCGCCGCAGTCGCAATTGCCAGATTGTGCCGCGTTAGGCCGGGGTTCACTTCTGGCGAAGTTTGGTTTAAGCAGTATACGAACGCAGCATGACAATTGAATCTGATATGATGTATAAGCTTGATACGGCAGAAGATGCTGATTTGCATCGGTACTCACACGTGTTGGACAACGTGAAGCCTCTCCTCGAAACGTCTACCTTCCTGCTTGCAGGGCGTTCCGGTCCGAGTCTTGAACGGGCAGGTATAGATACCTCTGGATCGTTTCACTTTCGCACGTTGTTTCCGTTCACGTTCCTTGAGGGTTCGAAGCTGGCGAGAAGCTGTCAAGTCCAACTCCCTTTGCAAGTCTTGAGGCGAATGTTGGAACACTATCGGTGTCTCCGAATGCAGCTGAGGAAACCCGTTTCCTCCCCCTGCTTATGAGCACGGGGGTCGCATACAGCCATATGACAGACTCACCGCTGTCAGCGGAATCAACGGAAAGAGACGGACCGCCCGTTATGTCTACGTCGACTCCAGGATTGGGATTTGTCTGATGAGTGTACCCGAGTTCGCCACTAGGATTTCCCTCGGCAGGTAATAACGCGGTTTCCGAAGAGCTCAACACATGATCTTCATCAACAGAGGAGGGAACTTCTGGAAAGATCTGTGAGCCGATACTACCGAATATGTCGTACACTGACCTGGAACGATCCCGGCTGTTGGAAGCAAACAGAGAGGTGCGGCAGATATTGCCGACATCCATGGGTTAGTGTCGAGCTCCGAGCGCAGTATTTGCAGTTCAGGTAATTGAGAACGCCGGTAATACCACCAGCACATCGAATTAAGCTGGAGAACTTCCTCGGCTGCATGATCGTCGGTCTCTTTGCAACTGATCAATCGGTGTTGACGAAGCTCATCCCTGATCTTGGCTGAGTGTTGCGTGTTGAAGGCAGAGACGTAGTCTTTCGCGATTTTGACACAGGGAGATATGTTTACAACCTGTGGGCCATTTAGCGACGTGGTCGTGGATCAGGTTCGAAAGGAGCAGACTTGATGAGGCACACCCGCAGGGATTATGACGGTCTCTCCTTCGAGTTGCACAAAACGCGTGGCCCTAATACTATCAGCAGCCATCCGTTGAACATCCTCGGCTGTGAGAGTTATGGTCTGAGAATGAATCGGGTGCCCCACGAACTCCCCTTGCTTCTCACGGCGGAGCCACTCAGTAGCCTCGTCCATATCATCTCGATGGATAGTCGTCCAAATGGCACCACCCTTAGAGCCGTCGCTGTGGCGCGCATAGAAGCAGACGTTGATGGCGTCCGTTATATCGCAGTGAAGCGACGTGCTTACGCCGTCCCCGGCACCGTGAGCGAGATAGCCCTTGGGCCCTGTATACGATTTAGCGTCGAGTGATGGTGTATCTAAGCACACGCCCGTACCTGTGTCGGGAGGCACTGATCCCTCCGGCATGCCAGATTCCAAGTTCAGATTTCCCTCCAATGTTGTGACTTCGGGCG